GAGGAGAGGAGAGGAGAGGAGAGGAGAGGAGAGGAGAGGAGAGGAGAGAGGAGAGGAGAGGAGAGATTTTCGCCTGGTCTTGATGGAAGGAACGAAGAAAAACTACCAAACAGATCAGCCGGCTTCTAGAATTCTCCTCCAGACAGCAACTGAATTCTACCTAGCTATCAAGATACTGTCAAAAATCTTGCCATTGTCGGGACTCGAACCTAGGTCAGAGACACTGCAGTCACATTTGATGAACTGTACCCTTTTCGGATTTGCCCTTAAAAACCGGACAATTCTTTAGTGGTAGTGTAGTGAATGAGATGTTGAGTTGGCACCTCCAGTAATAAGAGCAAAAGGGAAAATGATGACGTCGGAATTATTGCCGCAACTTTTGTACTCTCTCGCGGCAGCAAAGGGTGGCTGTCCGCTGAGTGGTCTTCCGCTGGTGACGAATTCTGCATGTCAACTGACACGAAACTATTCAATGTAAAAGTTTAACTTATAAAAGTTACCATAAGTCGTAGAAAAAATACCGTATAAAATTCGATGTACAGTCAATGCCGCAAGTACACTCGTGTGAAGTTTACAATACTCGCTCGTATCGTAATATCACACTCGCGTATAAATCGCGTATTCATCGTTATCCATCGTTACATATGCACTATAATAGTTTCAGAAATATTAAAAAGCAGGGTTTTTCTTACAAACCTTATTACCTTCCCACACGTGTGGAGTAATTGCAATTTGTTTATTAATGTCCCAAGAAGGAAATATGTAACAATTGTGATTAAGTGTAGTAGTGCTACAGACTTTCTCCTACTACTTGAATTTCCTGATTTGCTGAGTGAATTTTTTTTATGAAATGTAGGCATTAAAAATACATTTTCGCAAAAATGGCTGCAAATTGTTTTTTCAATGTTTTGCCCCTACATAGTAAACAACGGTAAAGAAAGTGGTGCTGGTCCCATTTTCGACGAATTAGCTCTGTACTTTTAAAACTGGCAAAAATTAATATCCCAAAATATATTTTTCTTAAATAATATGTTCTAAAATATTTGATTTTTAAATAATCTCATGAACATATTTTTGAAAAAAAAAAACAACCAAAAAATCACGGGTAGTCTTCCCACAATTATTGGGAGGTATTAATACATTTTTTCAAAATCTTTTTGTAATGTTTTGTTTAATTTTCCCCTCGCATAGAGTAATGCTGTTGTAGCATTGCGAATTGCTGCTGCGTAAAGTAAAAGATGACTCACGAGGTGAATGATGTGAAGAACAACTTTTACTTTTTCCGCAAAAATATCTGGAAAGTGCCTCGCAATGTCTTATCACTTTGACATTTAGAGGTAGTATTTAGTATATGAATGCAATTGGCATTTTCTGATAAAAAGACGCTTCTATCTACGTTTGGTTGTAAGATAGGAATTAATGAAATATAACAAAATGCCCTTTAGTCGATCCGGTGACCGAGATCGCTAAGGCAATAGTGCCGTAGCGATCTTGAACCGAAGGATCGCGGGTTCGAGTCCCGTCTCGGGCATGGTTGTATTGTGTTAGTCCTTTCACTCCCTCTCATCATCATATCGTGTCATTCTCACAGTTACCATACCATTACAAGTAATAGTGGCCGCTAATGACCTAGAAGTTGGTGCGACCTTAAATAACAAACATAATGCTCTTTAATATTCTCCAAGCATTCTCAACCCAATATCTATTCTCTTTATTTGGATACAGTGTAGCTATAGATTACCATGCGGAAGGACTGATCGAACTGTGAACTTTACATCGTAACTGCTTGCCTGGAAGGACCCAAGGTAGGCGCCGCGCTCTTCTAGAAGTGACGCCTGCGGCACACGGCGTGATACAAACGACACGACATAGCGTGCGTTAGCGAGTCTAGGAAAAGGCGAGTTCGCGATAACAAAGCTTGGCTATAAGTTTTCCATGAAATTAAGAATACAAAGTTTTTTTTACGTTCTGGTGGTATTACCTTGTATTAAGACTAAATCCAACTTTGCTAATAAATATGCAATACATATTATTTTTGATATTAAGAGGATAAATTCGTAACTTTCTTTATGCCACAGTTTTCCGTATTTTGTCTTATTAATCAAAGCAAACTAAAGAATTTAGTTACAAGTACTCGAATGATGTTCTGTTCCAAGAAAAGCAGACATATGCCATCTTTGTAAATGTGTTTGAGTATTTTATTACATAAAATTTAAAGACAAAAAATTGGAATCAGTTTGGAGAAAAAATTGAAAATATTACAGGGGCCCCAGAGGCTTTAGGAGAAGTCCTTCCTAAATTTTAAGAATTCTTTTAAAAATTGCAGGGTTTCATGTTGGCCCAGGTTAATCGGGGAACATTTATTTTGACAAAAGCTCCGAAGAATAGTTTACGGCGCTAGTTAGTCACAGACAAACACATGTACGGACATTTTGCAAAAACACGCTTTTTCGGAATTAAGGATCATCAAAATGTGGATTATGACTGCGCTACTCATAAGAGAATGTAATTTAGTACATATAGGAACAAGAAAAATCTTCTTTTACGGAGTGAGGGAGCCACAAAATAAGTGTTTCTTTCGAAGAAGTAGTACTTTTCGCTGAAGTATTTTATAATTTTCTAAATGCTACGTATGCTACTTCGTATATACGCACGTATGCGAGAAACTGATTAGAAAAAACGGAGGTAAATTAATGACTATACCGACATTTTAAGAAAAAAGTAGCGGTCCAGTTTTATTTCTATTGCACAACAACACTGGGAGAAAATGATGAATGAAGATGAAGATGGAGTATATGAAAACCTTCACATTTGTTTTCAGGTATGAATTCAGAAACTTAGAGGACGTTCTGCCAAAAGAGCAGGGGTGAGGAAAATAATTAAATTTATGCAGACTTCAAAGAGAGACGTGAAGTGTGAAAACAAGGGGGGGGAGATGTAGAATCTGTGAAATATCTGGAAAATACACGGAAATGTAGCAGTTTCCTCCATGATCATGAATGATCGATGCTCATTGCAAAACATCCTCTTAGGATGACTGGCAAAGGATTATGACATGTTTTCGCATTAAACACGCCGTGCATGTACGTAGATCTGACAACATCAAGGAAAAGTGCAATTCCGAGGAATGCGCTCCTAAGGAAGTCTTGGTGTTACATACTAACATTTCAACATTGCTATTATTGCTTGCACTGCGCATCTCATCCTCTCGTGCTTTGCTTTGCTTCGCGAATCTGTTCGTAGTTTTCATTCAGTCGCCTTCCCTTCAAGGCGGTGTAAAATACAGAGGTGGGCTGAGATTAGCTACAATCTTTGAAAGTAACCAGGAAGTGTGTGGTTTTCCGTAGGTTTCTGTGGTGGAGGCTTGTGTTGGAAGGAAACGGCGTGGGCTTTCGCTGTATATCTGGAAAGTACGTGGATACTCAATCGCAGTTCATGATAATGCAATGAAAATGCGACACGGAACATTGTGTAATTTTGAGTATATATGAAGGGACGATTTTAAATTGTTCGAGTTGTTATTATCCTGTGCTCTTTGGACAGTTAAGCAATCAGGTGACAGGCTTCTCTTCTTTTGAAACATTCCTCAACAATAATAAGAACCAGAATATGAAGTTCAAGATTTCTGAATCGAGAAGAAAGGTAAGTTCAAATCACATATTAGATTTAGAGAGCAATTGATAGTTGTTTATATTATAAGAGATTGAAGTAAATCTTTATTCGTTGTAAATCTAAGAAACAAATCAAAAAGTTATAATTTGTAAATGAAAAACTTTCTCTATGATTCCAAGTAATATTCATTGAATATTTTATTATTAAACAGCACTTTTAGATTTAGTTTTAAAAACTCTTACACACTTAAATATGTAATGACACTCTGCCTTATGGCCATGATTGTTGATACGTGTTTTGGCATACGAGTGTATATTTGTATAATTGCTAGGAGAAGGATGGGAACTTCAAACATGGGATATGTGACGGTCAACCTAGATTTGGACGAAGATGTATTGGTTCCTCCAAATGTTTAAAAGAGGAGAATCTTCACTATTCAAACTGTTGTCCGAGAAATTAAACACTCCGAATTATAAATGAAAACTAGTGCAAATCTGACAAAAATTGACGGTAACCGAGAAGTAATCCACAGAAGTAACTGTTTTGTAAATCAAAGAATTTTAAATATTTTCCTTGCTTTTCAAACCCTATTGGTTTTTCACCCAAACACAAATAAACGGTATTTCAGGATACCAAAGTAAATTCAACGTTCTGGAAGCTAATACAATTTTCTTCCAAAAGCATTTCAATAGTGCAATTAAGTTCAGAGTAAGTGAAGGTCAAAAGTGTTACTGAACGTTTGCAAGGAGTATACAACATGCATATGTCTACAGCTGCACATAGAAACAAAGGTTCTAGCATCAATGATAGTAACAAACATGGGAGGGAGAGAGGCAGAGCGGGCCACAGAGTTAGGATGGTTGGTGAATGTGAATTGTAAATTGTTTTAAAAGAATTTTCGTGTGTTTAAAATTTCTTTCATACTTCATTTTTATTTCATCGAATCTTTGTTCAAATATTTTCTTACAGTATCTAGCATTGGACTTTCTAATGAATCGTAGTAGCCGATAATGTTTTACTCCCTTTCAAAAATTCCCAACTTCTAATGGCCTTGTATATTACCTCCATACGGGATATGAACTGATAATATTGCAATTTCAAAATTATAATCGCCGTAAAAATTACTTGAAAGGTGTTTTTGATGCGAGTAGAGTTTAGTACAGCTACATTTTTACAATTTTTGCTAATATGCACAATAATGCACAAAGATCACTTGAAATCTGTATTATTCTATAATCCTAATATAAGATCATTGTCAATTAGTCCTGAAAATTCTGTCACAAAATATTATTTAAAAATTTTATTAAAAAAATACATTTGATGCTTCCCCGGATTTGCTTCCATATTTTCGGCCCTAATTTTCGAAGAGATTAGAACTCCACAAAGTCATTTTAATTTGTGTTAACTTGCACTTCTGCAATTACTCTATTAATAGTTTTGTATGCGAATGGATTGTATAATATTAGGCAATATTACGTTCTATACTGTCTCGAAAATATATTTTACCAGCCTCTAGACCGATTTAGTCAATATGAACAAAATTTCTTTTCAATTCTTTCATAAATTTAACCATGCGCCATTGCAAGAGAACGAATAATTTGGTAAGTCTAAGTAATTTCACAATATGTATTATATAAATGAAATTATTTCCATTTGTCAATGAAGTTAAGTATGAATTATATTCCAACTTTAATAAATATGCTAATACAATTTTTATCGTGCCAATATGTGCATTTATATGACCAATAAAAACACTTTATTTTCATAAAAATACTCAGAAGCATTTTATCTTTTTTAAACGATCAAATAATGGGAAGATAAGAACAATGTCATAAAACTCAGGGCTTCTGCTCATTAGTGTCATGTTCTCGATATATTACCAACAACAGATACTAAGTAATACAACATATAAATGTATGACTTTTCTTCAAGTATGAGTTCGTGAAGTATGGAATGATTTGATGGAAAAAGTCGTCATTTCTTATTTCCATTCTTCCTTTTTTAAATTTACTGTTGTTTAAGGCTTCTTACGATTATTAACTTTTTGGAATGTATAGGTTTTCCAGCATAAATGTTACAAACTCTAGGACATGTAGGCGAATGAAAAAATAAATAATGAATTAACCTTTTCCAATGGACATGAGGTGTGAAATCTCATTTTATACCAAAGTGACTGGTAAGCAACTCATATTGACCGGTAGGCAACTCGTACTGCGTCATTGTTGTTCGGCAGGTACACCGAAATCTCTTTGATACATCCCGAACATAACTTGTCAAACACTAGTGCATATACTAGTTTCCCGAACATAACCTGTCAAACACTAGTTTCCTAACACTTAAGGGCAAACGTCACATGTGTAATTTTGTAGCATGAAATTTCTCACCACATTTACATCGAGAAAGAATACCATCTTCGATTCCCCTATGCGATTAGGATTTAACATTTATTCCGAGATTCTGTGTAATGATTTTTTCTATAATATGTCTTTCGGCGCATACCCAGAGCATTCTTTCCCACGGAGAGAACGGAGCAGAGCGAGCTTTTCAGTAGAATCTGCAGTGACTCCAGACAGCGGCTGAATTCGACCAAGCTATCTAGCTAGTGTTCAAAATTCTGCTATCATTAGAAGTGAAAACCTAGGACCTCCTGATCAGAAGGCCCTGCAGTGACGTCAACTGCTGCACTGAGCCCACCTAAGCGGGTCTCTCAGGGCAACCCATCCAGGGACGCGGCGAGCACGTCGGCTGTCGTGTGTGCAGGGCGAGTGGCGGTGGGCGGCGGCGCTGCTGCTGGCGCTGGCGGCGGGGGCGCCACGCGCGCACGCGCTCTCCAAGATGCGGCTGGCGCACACCTGGGGCCAGGTGACCTTCGCCTTCGACAGCGACGCCCAGCGCCAGAAGCTGGAGGCCAACGGCACCTACGTGCAGGGCAACGCCGTGCCCTTCGACGTGGACGTCGACCGTAAGTGGCCCCGCGCCGGCCTGTTCCATGCCGTCCGCTCGGGGCAAGGAGTGTAAGGCGGTTGTGTGTGTGTGGTTCGGCAGCGCGCTCCGGCCGCGTGTTCGTGTCCATGCCGGCCATGATGAACGGGGGCGCCGTGACGCTGGCCACGGTGGAGGACCCGGCCCAGGTGCAGTCGCCCCGCCTGGTGCCCTACCCGGACTGGAGCTGGCACGCGGGCGCTCGCGGCTGCGATGGGCTCACCTCCGTCTTCCGCATCCACGTGAGTTAGCGCTCTGAATTCGTAGTAAAAGTCTGCTTTAAAACGATAGTCCAACGCATCTTGGAGTTTGCATCACAGCACGCTCTTAGACCATTTTTATGCCTCTTTAGCTTATTGGAAGAGATTATTTGTTCGCGAACTCCCAACACGAAGTCGACTATTGCACTAATCACAATATTTAGTTTTTTCTACATTTTTGAGTGAAGATGAAAATGAGGGTGTGTTTCCAATAAACATAACTACCAACTAAAACTTCATAACACAATTGTAAATTGTTAACTTTTACGGTAACTATACAATTTAATAGCGTATTCAACCAAAGTGTCTAAGATACCTACAACTAGTGGCAGCGGGGGGTGAAAAAAATGAGGGTTGTATTCCTGTGAATGTAGTTCTCTAAATTCAAAATACTAAAATTAAAGTACCGCAACCAACATGTTAATCTGATTATTCCGCCATCAGCCACAATGTGCTTCTGAAAATTCACAGCCTATCCGCAGATTTCCAGATCTCCGTCAAAGGGTTTCGTTCAGAACTACGATACCCCGTACTGCGATAAGTTATCGGCCCATCGTATCGTAGTCCTTGGCCTGAATTTTATGGCGCTCTTGTGACATTCGCCTGGAAGTGATCAGGAAAATCACAGAAGCCACTGCTCAAAATGGTCTTCTGAAATCAACTTAGATAAAGTACTTTATAAAGCTAAATAAAATGTCCATAATCACCCGTACAAATTACACAAAAATCAGCACAAGATCGGATGGCATTCGTATTTGTTTAAGGTAGATTTTTAAAGATTTTGTGGTACCAATTCAAGAGCGGCTGAATTTCCTTTAAGGGCAGTAGAAGCGACGACAATAATAATGAATCTTATCACAAAAAATAATTGTAGCTCTAAGTCTCATATACACACGTACCAGTAACGATGCAAGAATACTATGAGCACTCAATTGTCACACAGAGGTCCATCAACAGAAAAGGGAATATCCTTACAAGACAGTCAAAGATTTCACAAAGGTACATCCACTTATCAAATGCACAGTTTAAATCAACTAACGTAATATTAACCTTTTAAATGAAATACATTTCTCAAACATTCTAAATGATACATGTAATACCCTAAAATTAATTGAACTGAGTACTTTAATACCGCACAAATTAATACAATTATAACGCGTATGTACACTGATATTTTCAGAAAAAAGAAACAAACCTTAATTCCCCAGATTGCCTCAACGATATCAGGCAGTAACTACCAGCGCCCTGTGTATCATTGCAGTATCAAAACCAGTCATGAAATACCTAATTGAACAAAATGCTTACAATGTTAACGAATATGGACGCGCGTTCTGATGGCAAACTCGTGATTTGCAATGTTGAACTTGATCTCAATGTGTTTCGAACAGCTTTGATGCGAATTGTCGCGGAATTTTACTTCGAGAAATTGGAAATTGTGTAACTTTAAATGCAGAATGTCACTATCTTTGATGGTATCGTTGTTTGTGGTCACTAGAACTCTTGCCTTTGTGAAAATTTGGCCCGATATGTCCGGACACCTGTATATTCCTCATATCTATTAATACAGTTATATTAGTGCGATCGTACGGGCTTACATCCTTCAGATGCAGATGCCTCTGTGACTGCACACTTCTTAGCCATCGGTCGTTTCAAAAAAAGCTATATTACTGATCGTAAAGAAACAACAATTCCGAGAGCTCTAAACGATATTTGTATCCGAGGATGAGTTATATTGAAATTCTTTCACTCTTTCACTATTGACGGGCTGTACGCCATCTCTCTAAGGTTAAAGTATGTAATACTGATCACCAATAAACGAACAAAATGGAGCCTACTGTCCACCATTTTGTTTTTAGAAACTTTATATAGCACGATTTAAAGACGGATTGATATATTTATACCTACTTCAGAAAGTAAATTTATCAAATAGTTTAGACAATGAAGAAAATCGTGTCTAGTGCCAGCTATATTATGTTTCGAATACTTTATATAGACTATGACATTCCACAGACGAATCCGTCAGAAGTCAGATGGAAACAAAGAAACTTCGAAAAGTCTTCATTCAAAATGTATTTTTTCAAATATTTTATGTATTTTTCTGAAGGAACCTTCCTGGGTACCCTTAGTAGTTAGTTTCTAATATTATTTTTTTTAAACATTATTCATGTACGATGAAATGGAGTTCACAAAACCGATTAATTATACTATGGTATCGGAGAACCCTTGAAAGCATAATTTTGTCGAACAAGGATAATAAAACAATTGAAAAAAGAAAAGCCTTCATGAAAAATATAACCCTCTTTTTCGCTTTGCGCAGTCCAGTACAAAGAAGGTACAAAGGAGCAAAGCAAGGGGATACCTCCCAAGCAATGTGTGAGTAAAATGATCGCACGTGCACAGGTGGACCGCTGCGACCGCCTGTGGGTGATTGACTCGGGCATCGTCGACATCACCAACACGTTCACGCGGCGCTGCCCGGCCCAGCTGCTGGTGTTTCAGCTGCGCACCAACAAGCTGCTGGTGCGCCACCGCTTCCAGACCCCGGAGGTAGGAATGGTCCATTCACATAATTCTTCACATCGACTCAACTTTTTGGTAGTCCTAAAGATCGATTCCTTAAATGGTGATTTTGTATTCAAGTTTATTAATTTATACATTCAGTAGTTTACCACGGCCACTAAAAGATAAAATTAGATATGAAACATTACAATTTTCAATACTTCTGAACTTTTCAAAAGTACAGTTTTGTTAAAAAAGTTTATGCAATCTTTTCATATATCGCATTACAATTTTATTTTCTCGAATAACATTCTTAATAGTTTGCAGAAACTTTTTAATTATGTAAAAAATTGAGACATGAATTGAGACAACATGAATCTGGATATTGTTTGATTTTCTTAAAAACGTTTGTCTACCTGTTCGGCCCTCAACAATAATCTCTAATCTTCACTTAATCCAAAGAATTACGCTAATGATATGCTTTAACTTCTAAAATTGGTAATAAAGGAAGAATCTTTTAAATGTTAAATTTGTTTACTACCTTTGCACGTTTACATGAATTAATGTTTTGTTAGATGAGAGAGGACTATGATGTGTTTGTGTATGTTTCTTTTGGTGGCAGAAATATTAAATAAAATAATAAAGATTTTTTCTCACAACAAATGTTTTGCATTATGGAGGGGTAATATTTTATTGTCATTAACCTTCACGTAATTGCGTTAATTGATTCATGAACTGCATACACAACTCATAACTCATACTGTTAGATCACATTCATTGTTTTGTTGCCTTGCATATCTTACAACAGCATTTTCCTTTGACATTTAAGACAAGTTTACGTTTGTTTAGTCATTACTTAGTTTTGAAATTACTGGAAATCGTTGAAAAAATATAATGTGGTTTTTGGACAAAAAGGTAAACATCAATAATATTAATTTTTCAGTTAGTGAAGAAATACATTGTGAAAATAGTGAATTTTTACTAGTGAATAGGTATATCACATGACAGCCGCCGCATACAAAAAAAACACGTTTTGGTATACAGGGTTGCTGTCAGGACAGAATCATTCTCTATTCTTTCAATGAAACTGAGATGATAGTGACTACCTTGCAACATCATGATACGTTTTTCCGAATCTCTAAGACGGGTAATGCTGTGCAACAGATGACATACGCACATGAACTTAGCACAGCACATGAACTTCTGCAATAAGTTGTTACAATTTGACAAACTTCTACAATGTCAAACCGAGACCATTGGGAAAGGGGAGTAAGAAAGAGCTTGGGTGTACATGCACGTCTTTTACAGCAAATGAAGGAAACATTTGCATCTGTATCTCACTATTGTCATTTTGCAGTTCTTTTAGCAATCAATCAAGCAGATTGGTTTCGGTTAGGTATCTTTAACAGAATTTTTGTTTTCCATCTTACATTCTGTTTTACGCATATCTTTTAGAGCACAATCTGCATGCGGTTAGGGACTCATTCTGCTAGCTCATGTGCTGCCTTACAGTTTTCACAATTATGCTCATTCGCCACATTATCTTTCAGTAACTTAATAAAGCATATGCCATGCCGGATATCAAGGCAAAGTTAACCGTACCGAGGAAATATGTCAAAAACGTTAGACAAAAAGTATGAAAATGGTGGGTATAGCCCACCGCATTGGATTTTTATTTACTTTATATAACTTACGGCTCTCACGCTTTCAAGACGAATGTACGCATATGTCACCAGACGGGTTTCTAGTTATTCAGACACCCATGGAAGGATAGAATTTGCGCCCCTGTCAGAATATTTTAACTTAGGGTTGTTGTTAATTGTTTTAGCGCGTATACTCTAAATAGAGCCCCTTGCGAGTGGCGCTTATGGCACGTGTCATGTATGCCATACTGCTGACACGTGTCTGGATGTCACATCGGAATACCAGCCGAATGCGTCAGGCAACAAAGAAACTGAGTTTTACCATCGCTACGTAAGAGAAGCCGCGCAGAGGGTAAGAGAGGGGCGTCCCATTGCGCAGGCGAGCTGCGACGAGGCGCTGCTGCTGACGGTGGCCACGGAGCAGCTGGACGCGCAGTGCGGCAACGACGCCTACGCCTACGTGGCCGACGCCGGCGCCTACGCCCTCTTCGTCTACAGCCTGCGCCAGAACAGGTGGGCAGCAATTCCACGGACTTCCCTTCGTACCAATGATTGTTTTTTTTCGGACGCCTCAACAGATATGGTCATTAGTCCCGTAAGTGTAGTGCACGTTTTATCGCGGGTGGTGGTGGTGATGGCGGAGATCTAGCCCCCCCCCCGCTGGATGGCGAGATCCGTTGCCGACCTACACGTTGGGCTGCGGAATTTGTTCAACCATATATCTCCCACCAGCGGGGTATCGCTCCAGCCAGGACGAGCTCTAAGCACCCGACTGGTCTCCCGACATGTAGTAGGGTACGTGGGTACACGTAAGTGTGAGAAACAGGTGAAGATCGGGCAACAAAGAGGAAGGTAATATGTGGCGCGGTTTATGGCTAGTTTGTTAGGGTACGGTTCGCCTGATGTTTTTCTCTAGAAAGCGGGTGGATTCGACCTAGCTATCTAGTTAGTGTCGAAAATCATGTCACTGCCGGGACTCGAACCATAGAACCTCCATGTCAGAGGCACTGTAGTGAGAATGAAGAGTGGTAATATTATACTGGTTGACGACGGTCATTACCTTGGAACCTAGTTTGGAACTAAAATCCTCTACTATAAGGGTTAGAAAAAAAGGATGGAAATAGTTTTTAAAAAGTCTTAAGTAAAAGGTAACTTTTTCTTGTTAGATGGTCAAGTGTACAATTTTATTGACATAGGAATAAAGAGCTAAGAGCCTAAGGTTTAGCACCAATTGTGAAATCCCCAAACCCCTTTTCGGACGGCTAACTTGAAAACTTGGGGAGCAAGTCAACATTTAAATTGTATTACAAATAACTTCGATTTATCGGGGGCTCTGCAAAGTGAGATAATATCTATTTTTTAAACGTGGTTTCTCCGATCGAGACTAGGCGAACGCCGGAGCAGTACCTTAACAAACAGGCCACGGTTCGTATCCTTTGTCCTCTTCTTACCCCTGTCTTACACACACACTTGCACTTACACTTACATGAACTTACATGACTACTACGAAACATGTCGGGAATCTAGCTGGGAGCCCTTGTGGGACCCCTTGTGGGAAAATACCTGGATAGGGAAAACGCCGCAAACCAACGTTTAGGTCGGTGCCAGATCTTACCAAACAGCTGGGAACAATCATCGCTTTTCCACCGCGATAAACCATACACCACACTAACGGAACTAAGGTTCTTAGCAGTTGACGCGCAGGCCTGTGCGTCCAGGCGAGGAGGCAGTCCTCCTGAGCGGTGCGCGTGGCGTGCGCAGGTCGTGGAGGGTGGCGAGCGACCTCTTCTTCCCGGACGTGAACGCGCGCGAGTTCAGCGTGGCCGGCACCTCCATGACCCTCATGGACGGCGTGCTGGGGCTGGCGGTGTCCCCGCGCGTCGGCGCCGCCTGCGGCAGCCACCTCTACTTCCACGCGCTCACCAGCTTCCAGGAGGGCCGCGTGTGCACCGCCGTGCTGCGCAACGCCTCCTTGTTCGCCGACGGCGCCAACAACGCCGACAGCGCCTTCTCTTTCATCGGACGGCGCGAAGGGCAGGTGCGAGATTTCAGGGTTGAAGATTGTTAGGGGGCATGCCCCCTGAAATTCTTTGAACCGCACAATAATTTAGAAATTAGATTAAGATTAAATTTTATTTCCTGAAATGTGTTGTTTATATATATGCGGCAGCCGTCGTCTGTGCCGAGGAGGCTGCAAGTTCGAACCTGCGCAGACACGCTCGTATTTGTGATTGTCCCTTCACCTATCATCATCCTATCATCTCATAATTCACACTACAAGGCGTAA